AGTGGGTCCTGTTTCCTCCTTTGCCCAGACTCACTGGGGAGGAAGCAGCAGACAACAGTATCAGTTACCCCGCAGTTCCTGAGCTTGTTGTCGCCTGGTCACTGGTTGGATTCCCGCTCAGGGCATGTGCCTGGGTAGTGGGCTGGGTGCTCTGCTGCGGGTGTGTGAGAGGCAACGGATGGATGGATGTTTCTCTCACACATTGATGTTTCTCTCCCTCTCTTCCTCTCTCTAAAAATCAATAAATAAAACCTAAAAAAAGAGAATGTTTCCTATATCCCTACATTTCCCCTAACATGTGCCACTATGCAGGCTTCTTTTTAAAAATTTTTGTATGGAATTTATTGGGGTGACATTGGTTAATAAAATTATATAGGTTTCAGGTGTATAGAAATGGTGACGTTGCCGCTTTGGCTGCCAGCCCAGCCTGGCACAGGCAGGCACCCGTGACAGTGGGGGAAGAGGGTGTGGTGTGGGCCCGAGAAGGGGCCCTAGGCTACTTCTTCCTGGAGCAAATGGGGATGGTCAGTCCGGGAGGCTCGGACGCACTCCATCGAAGGAACAACAAACAAGGAACTGGGAGTGAGAGGGAGAGAACAACTTCTTCCACGGGAGAGAACTTCATGCCCAGGAGAACCAGGGTTCAGAGACCCAGCATGGAAGGAGATGTTAGGTGCTGCCCACGTGGCATCACGGGCATCATTTTGTAACAGCCCGTGTGCACGTGGGTCTGCGGCGCACCGAAAACATGGGACCAGTGGAAGGGACACTCTCTTTTACATCATAATAAGTTACTTTCAATTTAATGTCCTTTGCCATTAGAACATAATCCCCTTGGGAGCAAGACCTTATTTGTCTTGTTCACTTCAAAGCCCCAAGAATTTAGCTTTAGGCTGTGTCTGATACTTACAAGGTCCTCATTAAGTTGCTGTCCGATGAATGAAAGAAAGGCCAGAGACCTGTAATATGAACACGACCCTGTCCTTGCTTATGATGCGGATGGAAAGAGAACCATTTCTGTGGACTATAACTGTGGGCCACAGAGTGTTCTGGCTGCCTAATGTGTTATATCATTCAGTGATGGTATATTCAATATTCTTGCCATTTTGCAGGTGAGGAATTGGAGTCCATGGGGATTCAAATTTCTGAACAGAGGTCCTACCATGAGTAAGTGGCAGAAAGAAAACTCACACCATGTCTGTCTGACTCCAAGGGTTATGTGTTTGAGAAGCTGGCACCTTGGCCTGAGGAGTGGTGTCAAGGCCACGACCCGGGCAATAACATTGAGGCTGTTGCCAGCGGATGCAAATCAGGAATTCTTTCTCAGGAAGAAAGCAGAGTGGAGACCACAGGGATACTCATCCAGCTAAAGAAATAACTTTCCAAGCCGAAGGTCGAGGCCTGCAGAGGAAGCACGGACAGATGAGAGCCCCAGAGGCTAGTGTGGGACATGGCATTCCTACAGATCTTTTCTAGGCCAGGGGGTGCTTGCCATAGAATTTGAAGCATTCCCAGTCTCACCAGCACAAAACAATAAGACTGTGTTGTATCTTATAAGGCGGTCCTATATGTTCATATATTCATTCATTCATTCACTACATTTGTTGGTCACCTACTAATGTGCTAGGCTGTGTTCTGGGCATGGAAAGGCACCTGCACCCCACTACGCCTCGCCAGGGAGCTGCCATTCTAGTGGATCCACAGGAATATGCCATGCAGAGCTTTTAACTAATTTAATTAATTTCCATTGTTCTGACTCAACAAACTTCTAATTATGTTTGGACTTCCTGGATAGGCCTGGCTGCACAGAGAGAATTTGTGAATTATTTAGGATTGGAATATTTTGGTCTGATGTGTATTTATTTCTCCCGAAGTTGCTTAGTGTGAGCAATGGAGTCAGTCTTAGTGTGGGCACAGCAAGACTGGAAGGAGACTTTGAGAAATTTATCAAGGAAATGGTGTCTTGTCCTGGTCCCTGCCCGGTTGGGAGTCCTGGGGAAAACAGGAGGCTTCTCTTCTGTGTCCCTTTCTCTCCCTGCTGCCGAGCGCATCGTTAGTCTCGTGCGAGGGGTTGGTAGGCTGACTCGGTTCAAACAGCTGAAGTAGAGCCTTCGCTCTGCTACTCCCTGGCTTTGTGATCTTAGGTGAACCCCTTCAAGCCCCAGTTTCATCACCTGTCAGATTGAGATAACCGTCCCCTCCCTCATGATCGGGCTGTTTCAGGATTAAATAAGATGACCCATGTGATTGATTTGTCACTGTGCTGGCTCATAGTCAGGGCCCAATGGCAGTGATCGTTGAAAGCTTTTCTAAAACGGGATCACCAGTTGCAGCTGCCCCCGCAGCCGTGGCCACGGCTGTGGTCCGGTCCACTCCCGCGCTCCTGGTGCCCTCACGTGCAACGTACGTGCAATGGGCACCCATGGATTCCTTTCTCTCCCGCCCCCCAAACACCAATTGTTGGTATTTATTAGTAAATTGAAACCCAGTGTGTGTGCATGAAGCTTCCTATTATTTGACAACAGTGGAATCCTCATTTCATGCTTGTTTCCTTCTGCGATTCATTGCATGGGTTTGATTCTCATAGTGAACAATAAAGAGTCAACTCTGACCACTACTTTCTATAAACTGATTTCTTGCATTTGAGTATAAAAATCCTACTCAGGGTGTTTTAGGAATCATCCGTCGTTCTCATATCCTTTCACCCAGAGGTCAGAGGAAAGGAGGAAAAGGATATCATCTCTTTCACAGTGTGTTGTAGTCTGCTAGGGCTGCCATAGCAAAATATCATAGACGGGGCATTAAACAACAGAAATGTACTTTCTCCCAGTTCTGGAGGCTGGAAGTGTAGGTCAAGGTGTTGGCAGGTTTGGTTGCTGCTGGGCCACCTGCCTTGGCTTGTGGATGGCTGCCTGGTCTCAGACCTCATGTGGGCTTTCCTCTGCGTGAGTGCACCCCCGTGTCTCTTCCTCTCACAAGGAAACCAGTAACATTGGATCAGCCCCCACCCATTGATGTCATTTAACTGTAATTGCTTCTTTAAAGGCCTTACCTCCAAATAAGCTACATTGATGGTTAGGGCTTCAATGTATAACTTTTTGTGAGGGACGCAGTTCAGTCTATAACATGGTCTTGGCTGATTTAGTGTGTCGTCAAAGGATGCAGAAGACCGCTGTCTGCACAGGAACGGGTCAGGCCGGAAGGGTCAGCCCATAGCTCTCTGATTAGATGAGTAGTGGGCGGGGAAGCCAGCAAGGGGCTGTTTCTTGCTCAGAGTTTTCCCCACGCACTCAGTTGGGTACGGGCTGGAGCCCGACGCGCCAGGCCAGCTGTGGCGTGGCTCCCGTGTCCCCCAGGACCCTCCTACTCCATCTTTTCTGAGCCTCGGCTGTTGACAGACAGCTTTTACTTTACTAAAATTAACATTTTTCCTGGACACTATCTTTAGCCCCCAACTTTTAATCTATCGTATTTAGAGCCCTTTCTTCCATCATCTTAGGTTATTTACAGGCCAACTTAATTTATACGTACTCATACAAGTGGGGACGCCCCCAAAAAACAGAATTAGCTTCTGGAGGGCGGGGCCCTTGCAGTACAGACTTCTCCGGCTGGGTGAGTGTTCTAGGAACCCATCTGCCTCAGTGTATCAGCCTGTGTGGTGAGAGGCTGTGTTTGGCTTCAGTGAATTTTTTTTTGAAGACCTTCCATGCGTTTGCCCATTTCACGATGGATGATTTACAAGTGCACCTGCCCACACTGCACTGAGTGTTCAGCAGTTTTTGACCAAAAATGGCATGACCCCCATGCCCGAACCTCCCTAGTCATTTGATCTCACTCCAGAGAATTTTTTTTGTTTCTGCTCCTCCCTCCTGCATACACCCCCTAAAAAATCCTTACAGGGTAACGTTTTGCCAGTGTGGAATAGATGAAACAAAAAATGGCAAAAGCACTAAAAGACATCAAAATTGACGAGTTCAAAAACTGTTTTGAGCAGTGGAAAAAAATATTTTGATACGTGTATTGCATCAAATGGAGAGTACTTGGAAGATGACTGAGCTTTAAACATGTAAGAACAAATACACAATTTTTTATAAATAAATTCTGGGGTTTTTTTGGATCCCCTCTCATAGTTCTCAAACTTTTACAATTTTAATGTGGCAGTTCATGTTCATAACTAATATTTTTAAAGTGGTTCTAAACTGGAAGTCGGACCATTATAGGTGATGTGAATAGTAGAGAGAAGGTCTTCTAATAAGTTAGGGTTCCCCTCAAACACGCATTTCTCCCCCAACCCTGCCCTCTTTTCTTCCCTGCCAGACAAGCAGCAACATCAGCATTCTGTGTGGGATTAGCCTGCCACCTGTCAGGAAGTGGGAAGGATTCAGCTTCATACATAGTTTCTTTAAAATAATAATAATAATAGCAATAATAATAATAAACATAAACACTGTATGAGAGCTATAAGTCCATGTTACAAAGGCAGATTCAGCCCTGGCTGATGTGGCTCAGTGGATTGAGTGCCGGCCTGCAAACTGAAGGGTCTCCAGTTCGATTCCTGGTCAGGGCACATGCCTGGGTTGTGAGCTGGGTCCCTGGTGGGGGGCATACCTGTGAGGGGCAGCTGATCGATGTTTCTCTCCCTCTGTCTCCCTGTTTCTCTCTCCCTTCCCCTTTCTCTAAGAATAAATAAGTAAAATCTTAAAAAGAAAAAGGCAGATTCAGTGCTGCAGTCACCAGTGCTGGTGTTTTCTCCGGGCATGTAAACTAGAATTCTGCTCCTCTGCAGCCCTGTCTGCCATGTGAAGCTCCTGCGAGAATGGTACCGGTACATAAACTGTAGGCACTTCAGCAGGATCTATTGAATGGCGCATGACAGCAGAAACAGTTCTATGTCTTATTTAATAGAAAGCAAAGATAGAGAGGAACTTGGTGTTTTAAGGGAAAGACCCACATCCCCACCCATCTGTTTCCTCCAGCTCCATTTGCAGTGTTGGCAGCATCTAGGGTGGTGGTGATGGTTGGGGGGAGTCAGTGGCTGACCCTTGGCACTTTTTGGTGTTGCCCTTGGTAGGAGTGGCAGGGCGTGTAATCTCTCCCGAGGCCATGGGGTTGGTGCTGGCAGAGTTCCCAGCACTGGCACTTGAGATGCTGATGGCGTTGAGATGACGTTTGGCAACAGGGCTTTTGACTTGGGGGGAGAGAGATAAACTATGATATTTTGTTTGGATTGCAGCGCTAGAAAGCTTGGTAATGTTTATCGGTCTGGGGATGTCTTCTTTAAGTGCTTGGAGCAGCTCATTTTGCAGGTAGGTATTTATCAGTCGAACTGTTTTTAGTCCAACACAGCATTTTTTCTTTTTGCATTTCTGCATCTCTCTTTCATCCACAGAACACTGGTCTTTGCATCGCCCAAAACCCATTAAACATCTTTTCCAGCCGAAGAGCTCTGCACAAAGAAAAGAGAAAACCGCTGGGTTAAGGTTAATAACTAGGCATGATCTGAAAGCTGTTGGAGGGACCGGATAGAGTAAGGAGGGGTCTGTCGACACTAAGTCTTAATTAAGGACAGTGTTTAGGGAAGTCGATGGAAGCCCACTGCAGACCAAGAGAGTCTCTGTACACCAGTGGAACGCACAGTAAATCTCTCCAGTTTCCCTTCATTGAGTTACTTTAAAAATCTAGGGCACGTAGGGGAAAGAAGAAAAGGGAACCCAGTTATTTGCTTCTGGATGGGATGTTCAACCTCCGACTCAGCATCTTAGACACTTCCAGGGAGGGCATCACTCTCTCTCCATGGTCCTAGGGGAAAAGTAAAATCTACCAAGAAGAGTAAAATCTGCCATAAAACTCATGCGAGAAAGAATTTCAAGAGAGGATCAATAGGACTTCGGGAGTGCTGACATCTTGCCAAACCCAGTGGTTCTGACCCCGCCCTTCTTGGGAACGGCTTCCCCTGGGGCTCCTGGGTGCTCTGCCGTTGGCAGCCTCCCTGGGCTCTCTGTCCTTGGGAGGTGGTTTCACACCCATCGCCTCACCCTCATCGCTGTCCGTGCAACCCCCACTTCGCTGTCTCGCTCTCGCTCTCAACGCTCTGCTCGGTTTCTACCTCATTTTCACCTGCCAGATGCTTTTTTCCATCCCAGTGTCTCACCTTTGTTTTTTCTGAATCGAAGTTTTTTTTTTCTCTCATCTTAACAATTCAGCTGATCATGTTCACATACATTTCAACATTGGTCCTCAACCAAAGGTAAGCCAGTAACATTCCTCTATCGCAAACAGCTACGTGGATTGACCCCGTTAGACTCACGTGGAATCTGAGGCTCACCGTGGCTGAGAGACTGCATCCAAGGTGACAGTCGCGCTTGCTTATGTGGCTCCCCTTCTCTTAGGGTCCCCAGACAAAAACATCAGAAGCATCTTTGACTCTTTCCCTGCCCTAACCCCTTGCCAGTTGTTCCCAATGTCTGGATGATTCTTGTATTTGGAAACGGGTCGCATTGCTTCCCTCTTCTAGAAACAACGGCTGATCCTCTGGTTCGGCCCTTTGCCACAGTGTATTCCTAGATGCTCTTATGGGTAATTTGTGTGTTTCCAAGACAAAAAGTGCTGAGAGAAGGGATAAAATTCTGAAAAAAAGTTGAGATGGAGAACATAGACCTGTTCATTGGATCTTAGAAGATTTCTTTTTTTTGAGCATGAGGTGAGGGACTTCCTCCTTGCTGGTGACAGGAACCTTTGCGTCAAGAGGGGGTTTAAATTAGAAATAGAGCAGAAATGAGCGAGACTTAGGCCGATTCCCAGCTGACAGCTCTGTAGAGGGTAAGAAGGCAGCTCTATATGTTGGGTAGTTTCCGAGCACACAGAAACGCCCTGATTTTGCCAGAGCTAGCTCCCAGCGCGTCCCCATCAGACACAGTCTGGGTTTAGGGCCCGTGGGGAGGCTTGGGGAACGGCGCACGGCTGGTGCGACAGGAAGACTCTTCCTTTGGGCAACTCATCTTTCAGCATCTCTTGGGGTTCCCCTTGTCATGGACAACCAAGTCTCTGCTTTCTCACACCAACCCCTCTAAAACCCAGGATTTCACATTACCTGTGTTCACCTGGTACTGTAGCATGAGGCTGGCGAAGATAGGAACAAGGAGCTTCATGGCTGGGTACCAGAGAAGAGGGCCCGGATCTGGGTTGACGGTCTCTAGGCTGGGTTGAGCTCCAGCCTTTATGGGCCTCTACATGGCCTTAGGCCACAAGCAGCGAAGGGCATCCAAAGCACACAGGAGCTGTGTTTTCTCTGGTTCTGTTTGAGAACAGCCTTTTCTGAACGCTCCATGCAACCCATTTCCTGCTCTTGATCCTGAGGAAGATACAAGATATAAGATACGAAAGTGCAGGCCCTTTGTATCTCTCCTTCTTAAAGTTTGAGCAGAGGGGCAATAATGAATTAGCTTCCTTATAAGTCAGCTAATTCTGCCTGAGGCATGCAGGGTGTGTGAATCAGAAGAGCAGAAGTTGCTATAACCCTGGACCCCTGTCTTTTCCCCATACTGATGTCTTCAGAGTCCAGCAAGGCTACTAAATCAACATAAGAACTCAGTACGCATTGGTTAAATGAGCATGTAGGAAGCATCTCTTAGCATAACTTTAACTTACAATATTTTTTGAGATATAATGGACATGTAGCATTATATGAATTTCAAGTGCAACAAAATAATGATGCAATATTTGTGTAGATTGTAAAATGATCACGATGTGTAGTTACCAGCCATCACCACACAAGTTACATTTGTTTTAAGATTTACTCTCCAAGCAACTTGCAAATAAACCATACAATATTGTCCATTGTAGTCACCGTGCTGTGTGTGACACCCACAGAGCTTATTTATGGTAAGGGCATTATGTCTGGGCATTATATCTGGGCATTATGGAAAAATGCCCAGAAGTGGAATTTCTGGATTATGTGGTAGTTATATTCGTAGTTTTTGGAGGAGCCTCCATACTGTTTTGTAAGTGGCTGCACCAGTCTGCATTCCCACCAACAGTGCACAAGGGTTCCCGTTTCTCCACATCCTCGCCAACACTTGTCACTTCTTGTTTTTTTGATTATAGACATTTGAACAGGGGTGAGGTCATATTTCACTGTGTTTTCATTTGCATTTCTCCGACAGTCAGTGATGTTGAGCACCTTCTGGCCATCTGTGTTCTTCTTTGGAAGAAAGTATCTGTTTAGATCTTCTGTCCATTTTAATTGGATTTTGCTTCTTGCTATTGAGTTGTGTGAGTTCTTTATCTATTTTCAGATATCATCTTATCAGATATTTGATTTGCAAATATTTCCCCCCATTCAGCAGGTTGCCTTCTCATTTTGTTGATGGTTTCCTTTGCTGTGGACACAGCTTTTCCTTTTAATGAGCGTCACAGAGTTGTGATCACAAAGTCTGTATCTTTTTGAGATTGGCTTCTTCCACACAGTAATATGTATTTACATTTTCTCCATGTCTTTTAATGGCTTGATAGCTCATTTTTTAAAAAAGAGTTTACTTATTTATTTACTTTTAGAGAGAGGGGAAGGGAAGGAGAAAGAGAGAGAGAGAAATATCAGTTGTGTGGTTGCCTCTCACATGCCCCTACTGGGGACCTTGGCCTGCAACCCAGGCATGTGCCCTGGCTGGGAATCGAACCTGTGACCCTTTGATTTGCAGGACAGCACTCACTCCACTGAGCCACACCAGCCAGGGCAATAGCTCATTTCTTTTTAGTACTGAATAATATCCCATTGTCTGGATGTACCACAGTTAAGTTATTCATCTATCTACTGAAGTACATTGTGGTTGTTTCCACACTTTGGCAATTACAAATAAAGCTGCTTTAGCCCTGGCTGGTATGGCTCAGTGGGGTGAGCACTGGCCCATGAATCAAAGGGTCTCTGGTTTGTATGTAGCTGTCCAGATCTCCCAACACCATTTGTTGAAGAGGCTATTTTTACTCCATTTTATGCTGTTGCCCCCCTTCCTGAATATTAATTGATCATACAGACATGGGTTTATTTCTGGGCTCTCTATTCTGTTCCATTGATCTATGTGTCTGTTGTCATACCAGTACCAGACTGTTTTGATTACAGTGGCCTTGTAATACAGTTTGACATCAGGTATTGTGATCCCTCCTACTTTGTTCTTCTTTCTCAAAATTGCTGAGGCTCTTCAGGGTTGTTTATGGTTCCATATAAATTTTGGAAATGTATGTTCTTTATCTATGAAACGTGTCATTAGTATTTTAATAGGGATTGCACTGAATCTGTAAATTGCTTTGGGTAGTATGAACTTATCCTTCTCGTCATGTATTGTCATCCTGACTTTGTTTAGTTGTCTCTTTGTGTTTGCTTATACTTCACTGAACTTCTTTAAGAGGTTGATTCTGAAATCTGTGTCTGTCAGTTTGTAGATCTCCATTTTTTTAGGGTCAGTTATTGAGCTTTATTAGTTTCTTTTTTCCCTGACTCTTTGTGATCCTTGTCTCTTTGCACTGGTGTCTATGCATTTGAGGAAACAGTCACCTATTCTAATCTTTATAGGTTCACTTTCGAATGGAAAGACCTTTCTAGGTCAGCCTAGCCTGAGGTCCCAGATGGGCTAGCTTGTACCACTCAGGGGCAGGTGTGACTTGCCGAGAGGTCTCTGGTTGGGTGGGGCTGCTGCCTGTGCTGTGACCTTGGGTAATGCTTCTGGCTGGGCTCCTCAGTCAGGTCTGGATGTTGGTTGGGCTCCATGGTCAGCACAGCTGCTGAGTGGGCTCTGCAGGCAACTGGGGCTGTTGGCTGGACTCTGCAGTTGGCCAGGGCTGCTGGTTGGGCTCCAAGGTCAGGCAGGGCCAGTTGCTGCACTCACTGGTTGGGTGTGAATACAGCCTGGGCATCCTGACAGGGCACTGCTGCTGGTTGGACGCCAGTCGGGCAGGGCTGCTGGCTAGACCCTGCAGTCAGCTATGGTTGGGTGAGGTTGCAGTCCGTGTCCCCGGCCAAGTGGTGCTTCTAGCTAGATTCTATGTTTAGGCGAGGCTGGAGGCTGTGCTCCATAGTTTGATGGGGCCACTGGCTCAGTTCTGCAATTGGCCAGAGCTGCAGGCTGGGCTCTGGGCTTAGTTGGGGCTGCGGGCTTTGCTCCCTGGTGGAGTCATTGGCTGTGCTCTCATTGGACAGGGTCACCGACTGTGCTCCACGATCAGGCAGGGCCACAATTTGTGCTGACAACTGGGCTGGACCATTGACTGAGGACCCCAGCCAGACAGAAATGCTGACTGTGCTCCCTGGCCAAAGGGGCTGCCGACTTTGTTTCATGGGTGGGAGGAGCCACTGACTGGCCTCTCTGACCAAGGACACTGACTGGGACGTGGTTCCACTGCCAAGATCCACTGCCTGGTTACTGTGAGCCCTGTTCCCTTCTTTGTCCCAGTTGCCTCTGTGTGGTCTAGGTTTGTCAATTCCCCTGGGTTCTCCAAGACAGAAGTGGGCCTCCAGGGAGTGCCCCAGAAATGCTGGGGAAGCTGAATGTCTGCCTCAGGTTCTCTTTTCTCCACTGGAGGAATCGTAGTCCCACGGGATCCCTCTTGGTGTGGTGCTGGGCTGGCCTGGGAAGAGGCACTGTGGTCAAAGTGAACCTGCCTCTCTTACCCTTCAAATGCAGATTTTTTTTTCTCCAAGTGGGTGCTTCAGCCTCACTCCCAGGTTCTGGAATTTTCTTTAAAAATTTTTTTTTAAAATTATATTTTATTGATTATGCTATTACAGTCATCCTGAACCCCCCCCCCACCCCCGCCCCTGCATCTGTATCCAGCAGCTCACACTCCCTCAGGCAATTCCCCGGCCATTGTTTATGTCCATGGGTCATAGGTATAAGTTCTTTGGCTACTCCATTTCCTGTACTGTACTTTACATCCCCATGGCTGTTCTGTAACTACTTATTCATACTTCTTAATCCCCTCATCACCCATTCTCCATACCCTCCTTCCATCAGACAGCCATCAAAACATTCTCTTTGTCCATAATTCTGTCTCTGTTCTTGTTTGCTTAGTTATTTTTTAGGATTCAGTTTTGATAAGTATTTTTTTTGTCATTTTATTGTTCATAGTTTTGACCTTCTTTTCTTTAATAAGTCCCTTTAATGTTTCATATAACAAGGGTTTGGTGATGATGAACTCCTTTAGTTTTCTCTTGTCTGGGAAGCTTTTTATCTGCCCTTCCATTCTAAATGATTCTAAATGATATCTTTGCTGGGTAGAGCAATCTTGACCATAGGTCTCTGCTTTTCATGACTTTGAATATGTCTTGCCAATCTATTCTAGCCTGCAAAGTTTATTTTTTTTGAGAATTCAGCTGATAGTCTTATGGGAACTCCTCTGTAGTTAACTAACTGCTCTTCTCTTGCTGCTTTTAAGATTCTCTCTTTATCTTTAACCTTTGGCATTTTCATTATGATGTGTCTTGGAGTGGTCCTCTTTGCATCCATCTTATTTGGGACTCTGTGCTTCCTGGACTTGCATGTCTATTTCTTTCACCAAATTAGGGAAGTTTTCCTTCATTATTTTTTCAAATAGATTTCTAATTCCTTGCTTTTTCTCTTCTTCTTCTGGCAACCCTATGCAGTGAATGTTGGACTTCTTGAAATTGTCCCAGAGGCTGCTTATACTATCCTAATTTTTTTGGATTCTTTTTTCTTCTTGTTGTTTTGATTGGTTGTTTTTTGCTTCCTTATGTTCCAAATCATTGATTTGATTCTTGGCTTCATCCACTCTACTGTTGTTTCCCTGTAAATTGTTCTTTATTTCAATTAGTGTATCCTTTGTTTCTGACTGGATCTTCTTTATGCTGCTGAGGTCCTCACTAAGTTTCTTGAGCATCCTTATAACCAGTGTTTTGAACTTGGCATCTGATAAATTGCTTATATCCATTTTGTTTAGTGCTTTTTTCTGGAGTTTTGACCTGTTTCTTCATTTGGGCCATGTTTCTTTGTCTCCTCATTTTGGCAGCCTCCCTGTGTTTGTTTCTATGCATTAGGTAGAGCTGCTATGACTCTGTGTCTTGGTGGTGTGACCTAATGTAGTAGGTGTCCTGTAGAGTCCAGTGGCACAGCCTCCCCTATCACCCAAGCTGGGTGCTCTA